AGTAATTATCAGTGGTAATCAGTAGTTATCAGTAATAATTAGTTACAATAATTGTTTGTCAGACACTTTTTTAATTTCTCTTTTTTTGGCTATCCGTAGTTTTAATTAGTTACAATCATTTATAATTAGTCAAATTAGTTAGAATTAGTTATAATCAGTTGTAATCAGTTGTAATCAGTTGTAATCAGTTGTAATCGATTACAATCAATTATAGTCAGTCAAAATGACTTATAATCTATGTATTTTTTAATTTTTAATTAATGATTTAATTAAAATTTTTTTTTTAATCACATTAATGTTTGTATATATATGTATTAGAGGCTTCAGTGAAACATTAATATAACAACGCCAGTAAAATCAATATATATACATATTGAAATGTGAACTATTTTTAAATATATTTACCACAGATAAGTCATATAATTAAATATTCAAATAGAATATTCATTCTTAATTGATTTTGAGCATCCAATGAAATTAAGCTCTCTAATCAATAAATTTGAAGCAGGCCAATCTTCAACCTGTTGACTCATATTGGTGATATCAACACATTCGACATTTGCATAACTAACTGTCAAGAACGGACATCTGAGACTGTTTAGGCATCTCACGTCTATGTTCATAAAGGATTACCTGTTTCGGATTAGAATTATATTATACATACGAGAATCTGTATTAATTCTCCTCTATATATGTGTTTGAATAATATTATTCTTTAATTAATTGATAAAATATAATAATAAAGAATATTGAATTTTTTTTTAGAAAATAAAGAGGAAATTATTAAAAAAAATATTCTGAAGATAAATCGGTATTGATCATTTCTCTTCTGCACTATTTGATTCAATTTCATTGTAATCAAGACTGAACATAGAAAAAGGAAACTGATCACAGGATGCTTATCTGTGGAAGTCAATCAACTCTTTATTCCTTTACAATATATATCATCAGAAGAATATCATGATTTTCCAAGTAAAAAGTCACCATTCCAAGGGAGGCGGTTATTTCATTGAAAATTGATAGCAAAAAAAAAATCTATCTTACACTGAAATGAGAATTCTATTCTAAACATTACGAAAACATGCTATTGCAATTAATTGAAATTAGACAAATAATTTTAATTAATAAAGTAAACAATAATTTAATTCAGTATTATATTATAATTATAAATAATATATTATTATATTATATTTTATTTTATTTTATATACATTTATGATTTATATTTTATAAAATTATATTTTAAAGTTTTAAATATTACCGCGTGCGCGTGTGTTTCTGCGCATCGCACTTTAGTTCCACTGAGCGCTCATAGGTAGCGATCATTTTTCTCTCACAATTAAACTTCTCAATCGTTTTTTTTTTTATTTTTCGAATAATAATATTTGAGAATAATTTTTTAAAAATGTTTTTAACTAATAAAATTTGACTTTTTAACAATTACACTTGAGAATTATTGCTACAACTAAAAAAAAATATATATTTTATCACTCTTTTTGTGTTTTTTTTTATTTTGTATTACTTATCTGGAGTTTATTATTAACTTTTGGAAAATACTAACAATTGAAAATAATTTTTATTAATAATATTCCCAAAGTGAAGTTATCATTTTTAAATATTACCGCCTGCGCGTATGTTTCTGCGCATCGAACTTTAGTTCCACTGAGCGCTTATAGGTGGTAATCAATTTTCTCTCACACAATTATATTTTAGAATACAATGTAATATATAATTTTTAAATAAAATTAAGAATCTAAACAAAATATTTTGGAAAATTAAAATATTTTTAATTTAAAAAAAAATCATATACTATTTTTGTTTACTACTTTAATATATTTTGTTGTATAATGATAAATAATAATTTGTTTTTTGTAGAGAATTTTCTAATAAAAGAAATTAGATAAAATTCAGTGCAGTTCAATTTTCTCAATTTCTTGTTCGAAATTCAGTCTACAAATAAGTTTGAGATGCTCTCGTATTGCCTTAATCTCAATTTTTCTTGGAGCAAAGCTCCCTTTCGTATGTTTAATGCAACGGAAAGACTGCGCGCTCTGCCACATGGCACTGGATTGCATTCAGTATCCTCTGGCATTCGCCGAGAACACCCCCGGGGACTTTTGAGACCACGTGAAGCATTTTAATAACTCGCTTCCGTCAGGATATATACACCGACACACACACACACACCTAGCAAAAAAAAAAGATATCGAATACTTGCAAAAGAAACTCGATTTGAGCGGCTGCTTTACTTTTGAGTTCAAGCTAGAAACTTTATAAAAGTTGTTTTTTTTTTCAAAAAAGAAACTATTTTTTTTTTATTTCTCTACTTTAAAAAAAAAAGTTTACTAAATAAGTTCTCAATAAAATCTTCCAATAGAAAATAATAACAATTTTTTTTGTAAAAAGAAATAATTTTATTTAATTAAATACTTTAATTTTAATAAATAATTTTTTCTGTTACAAAAAGAATTCTCATTGTATTCAGCTTTTTGTTTCGTATAAAAAAAAAATACCACGAGAAACAGATAATATGAACATGTACATTTAATCCAGTAATTAAGTTTTTTGCTTAATTCTTTTCTTCGTTTTTGCAAGCAGACAAAAAAAAAGGGGAAAATACAACACTATAAAGTTAATTAAAAAGGATAATAAAAACAAAAATATGATAAATTTTAAAAATATTAGACAAAGAAAAAATGTTAATTATTAAAAAAAAAAAAAAAATGTTTTGAAATTTTTTTTATTGTCATGGGAAATATTGTTTTTTATTTTCTTTTATCCCGGACATTGAATGCAACCTTTGACATTGCGGATTTTCCAAGTAGGCAATACCATTAGGTGTGACTCTCTTAAACTTGGCAAAACTCAATTCCATTGCTTCTCCTGTGATTTCCCGTTTTCACGGTGGATTTCCTTGACGCGAGTTCGCGAAGCAAAATCCCACCATCGAGTAAAACTGTCGTTCATGTTTTCCCCACATATATATATACACACACACAAAGAATAGAAAGTTTTGCGGGTCCAGTAGAGTCTATCGACCATTTTCTAACTTCTCTACTTCTTTCTAAAAATCACCAAGTCAATTGTCTTCAGTTTTATTTTTGTCCGTTTTCTCGCCACGATATAGTATATATATATACTAGGGGGATTGGAAATGGGATTTGATTCTCCGCTTTCGTAAAAGAAAATAAGAGAAAAGTGTCTCTTGGCACAAAATTTCACCGGAAGCATTAGATTTTACAAACTGTATAAGAAATAAGATTTGACTTTGTAACAGTTTCACTTGACAATTTTTGCTACAACTGAAAAAATATATATTTTATCTTTTATTTCGTGTTTTTTTTATGTTTTTCTATTATTATTTATAAATATTTATTTATTTCTTACAAAATTTATTATATTTTGCAGAATACTAACAATTTAAAATAATTTTTATTTATCGGATTCTCGAAATAAAATTATTATTTTCAAATTTTACCGCGTGCGCGTATGTTTCTGCGCATCACACTTTAGTTCCACTGAGCGCTCATAGGTAGCGATCATTTTTCTCTCACAATTGAATTTCTCAATCGCTTTTTTTTGTTTTTTTTTATTTATGTGAAGTTTATTAACTTTTGGAAAATACTAACAATTAGAAATAATACGAGTCTCCGAAATGAGGTTATACTAACCTAAAATGTACACAAAGAAGAAATTACATAATAAATAGAAATCTAATTCTTTTTTTTCTGTTTCAGATGCAGAAAAAAATATATCATTAGAAAACCAAATCGTAATTTTTTTTCCTCTCCCAACGTAAAAATCACCAATTAAAATTAGTTTACTTAAAAGCTAATTTTTTTTTTAAATTAGTCATTTCCTAGTTGTGTTTTTATTAGAGATATAGTATGATACTAATTTAGTGTGCAGATGAAAGTATTTTATAATAATAATTCCGAATTTTCTGAAAGTATTTTATGAAAAGTAGACAAACGTAAGCTGGTAATCAGTGAGCTTTCGGTGAAAATTTAAATATTACCGCGTGCGCGTATGTTTTTGCGCATCGCACTTTAGTTCCACTAAGAGCTCATAGGTGGCGATCATTTTTTTCTCACAATTAAACTTCTCAATTGTTTCTCTTTGATTTTTAGAAGAATAATATTTGAGAATAACACATTTTTTAAATGTTTGCAAATAAATTTTTTATCATTTACTTCTTTAGGAATTGAAACATATTTATCTTTGCTTCTTAAATTTTTCTTTTAATCAAAAATATTTCTAACTAAATTTTTGGTATCATTTGATTCCTTAGGAATTGAAACCATCTTCTTTAATTTTTTTTAGAAGTTTATTTATTTACTTTTTTTTATTTAAAAATAAAATAACGATTTTGTCGGTTTCAAGGCAAGCGACTTGTTTTAAAATGTTTTTTCTTTTTTTTTTTAATTTAAGTCCCGGGGCATTTTTATTGCACGTTTGGCATGGTGGATCATGAATTCCCTGCGGTATGCGGTGATCTTGGCAATCATCTGAGACGAATGATTGTTCCCTAGAGCATTGCGCGAAGCTGCCGATACTTATATAATAAAAGGATTGATGGACCAGTAGACAACCTTTATACGCTTTTTATTTTTTTCCTTTTACATATATTCTCTTTTATTTTCTCTCTAATCTTTTTGGAATATTTTTTAAAATTTCTACTTTGAATTTCAATAAAATTTTTATTAGAGTTTCTAATTTATCAATTTCAAAAATTCTGCAATTGTAAAAAAAAGAAGTGTTTAAATTAAAATCTTGCAAAGTTGATTCTTTTTTAAATCAATAAAATATTATTCACATTCCTGGGACAAATTCTTCACGGAAAAAAAAAATCTATATGTTTCTCTAGAATAGTGAAAACTTTCGCTGTTTTAATGAAATATATCGTTGTTTCAGGTGAAGACTTTTTTCCATATAGTTATTCTCGAATGAAAAAATAAATAATGCAAAGAGGGTCTTTTTTTTTAAATAAATGGTACTTACATTGGGCTGCGAGTGTCAGGAATTCCTCGATTACTGGATAGACTATCCGAGGCTTCTTGATTGAATTTATTTCTTGCATAAGGGTCCTCACCGACTCTCAAACCTCCCCTTGAGACGTACCTGAGGAAAAGTAATTTAAATATGGAAAATCTGCAGAATTCTCTATGCGGAAAGATTTTACATTCTGATATATATATATATATATATTGTAAAATCAAAAAAAAAAATTTTGTTCTTTTAATAAAAAAACATTCCATTCTTTCTTGTTTTAATTCAAATGGATATTTTATTCAAAAATTTTAATTAAAAGTAAAATTTTACATTAAATAAATAAAGAAGTCTATTTTTGTTATGTTTTTATGTAATTTTTGTTGAATGAAAATAATTATATATATATATTGAAAATAATGAATATTGAAATATGCGGTAGTGAAAATGTAATTAAAAAGTAGAATATTGCGGAATAGTAAACTATGTCCGTTTCATGATAGCAGCTCGTTATAACTAATTCCCAAGTCGTATTAAACTCACCCCTGCTCGTCGAAATAATTCCACGTAACTTGGGGATCGGGACTAGGAGCAGGCAAAAGTTCAGAGGACATGACGATGGCCGTTCCATCTGCGTCCATGTAACCATTGGAATTTCCACTCGAAAGTACCAGTGATCCCGGTTCCTTTAATCTCAATGCTCTATTTTCATTCTGTAACAAAAATAATCAATATTTTTAATAGTGTTATAGAAAAATTTAATATTTTTATCTTCATAATTTTTTTTTTACTATCACTTTTGATTTATTTATTAAAAAAAAAAATATTATTTATATTTCTTTTATTTAGAAATATAATTTATTTGGATTTAGATTGAGAGAAATTATTTATTGACAATTCATTGAATGTGATATTAAAATTTTTAAGCCTGTTCTCAATTCTCTATCTGATATATATCTTTTTAGCATTGAACATTGTCGCATCTTCTATCATATATATATATATATATATATATATATATATAGGTATTGAATATATTGACATTTTACAAACTGCTATCATAAAGGAAAACTATATTCTGTCACTGACAATTTACTTTCATGATAGACAGAGGCTAAACGACTGAATAGAGTTAGAAGATAACTCATATGTGAAGAGAAAACATGTATTGATGAAAATAAACACATATTGAAAGCATATTTATGGATTTTCAATTTTATATTACAACTTTCATAAATCATCTTATTTTGCAGAATTTTTATTTATTTTAAAATTATTTAATTATCTATAGAAAATTTCATGCTAAAAGTATTTAGTTATTTAGTAACTAAAAGTATTTAGTAGCAAGTGTTTAGTAATATAGGAAACTAAAAGTATTTAGTAATAGGCAATTAGTAATTAAGTATCTAAAAGTATTTACTAATAAGTATTCAGTAATAAGCATTTAGTAAAAAGTATTTAAGAATTTATTAACTAAAAATATTTATTAATATGTATTTAGTAATTTGGTAACTAAAAGTATTTACTAATAAGTCAACAGTAACAGGTATTTAGTAAAAAGTTTTTAGTAATCATTATTTGGTAATTTAGAAACTACAAGTATTTACTATATAGTAATAAGTGTTTAGTAATTTGGTAATTAAAAGTATTTACTAATAAGTATTAAGTAATAAGTATTTAGTATTAGGTATTGAGTAATTTAATAACTAAAAATATATTCAAAGAAGTATTAAGTACTTTGGAAATTAAAAGTATTTACTAATACAATATCAATAATAAGTATTTTATAATTTCTTGACTAACGTATTTACGAATAAGTTTGCAGTAATAAGTATTTATTACTTTAATTACTAAAACTATTTCGTAACAAGTATTTAGTAATTTAGCAACAAAAAGTATTTAGTAAAGATTATTCAATAATAAGTATTTAGTATTTTAATTACTACAAGTATTTGGTAGAAAATATTCAATAATATATTTTAATTACTAGAAGTATTTAATAATAAGTATTTAGTATTTTAAATATTAGAAATATTTAGTAATAAGTATTTAGTAATTTAGTAACTATAAGTATTTACTAATAAGTTTTCAGTAATAAGTATTAGTAAAAAGTAATTAGTATTAATTATTTAGTAATTTAGTAACTAAAGGTATTTAGTAATAAATATTTAATAATTTAGTAACTAAAATAATTTAGTAATATGTATTTAGTACTTTGTTAACTAAAAGTATTTACTAATTAGTCATAAGTTAGAAGTATTTTATTATTTTGTAACTAACGTATTTATTAATAAGTACTCAGTCATAAGTATTTATTAACTAAAACTATTGTGTAAAAAGTATTTAGTAATTAAGTAACTAAAAGTATTAAGTAAAAAGTATTTAGTAATTTGCTAATTAAAAGTATTTACTAATAAGTAATCAGTAATAAGTATTTTATAATTTCGTAACTAAACGTATTTACTAATATGTATTCAGTAAAAAGTATTTAGTATTTTAATTACTAAAAGTATTTATTTAGTAATAAGTATTTAGTAATTTAGTTAAATTACTAAATTTTTAAATGTAAATCTTTTAAAAATGATGTTAGCTATCATTGAAACAGTGAAATAAATATTTCATTTTTAAATATTTTTATTTATAAATTATATGTCCTTAATCTTTATATAAAACTAGCGATGTATTCCTCGCTCGCTAACGCTCGCTCGGTTAAAATTGTACTTATTGTTGTTTACTTATTGTAGTTTATGTATATTATATATATAATTTATGTTTTAAATTAATATCTTATTAATATTGTATAAAATTTATCTTAAAATTGAAAAAAGATGTTACATAAAAATAGTTTGTAAGATTTTCCAAAAGCATATATGCAAAGTATTTTGATTTATTTGAAAATAATTGAAAATAGATTTTTCAAGGACGGTGTCGAGGTCACGGGGTCGGTGTCGTTTTTCGAAATTTGTTAACTTAATATAATAGAAGATATTTCGTTTTAAATTAAGAAATGTTAAAATTATTAAGTTAAAAACATTTGATTTTAATGACACTTAAAATTAGACACAATATTATAGGTTACTAACTAAAAATTGAAAAAACAACAATCAATAATAAAAAATAATAATAAAAAATTGAAAAAATCAAAAAATTCTTAAAAAATTGCAAAATAACCCTTTTTCGGGTTAAAATTAAAAAAAGATGTTACATAAAAATAGTTTGTAAGATTTTCTAAAAGCATATATGCAAAGTATTTTGATTTATTTGAAAATAATTGAAAATAGATTTTTCAAGGACGGTGTCGAGGTCACGGGGTCGGTGTCGTTTTTCGAAATTTGTTAACTTAATATAATAGAAGATGTTTCGTTTTAAATTAAGAAATGTTAAAATTATTAAGTTAAAAACATTTGATTTTAATGACACTTAAAATTAGACACAATATTATAGGTTACTAACTAAAAATTGAAAAAACAACAATCAATAATAAAAAATAATAATAAAAAATTGAAAAAATCAAAAAATTCTTAAAAAATTGCAAAATAACCCTTTTTCGGGTTAAAATTAAAAAAAGATGTTACATAAAAATAGTTTGTAAGATTTTCTAAAAGCATATATGCAAAGTATTTTGATTTATTTGAAAATAATTGAAAATAGATTTTTCAAGGACGGTGTCGAGGTCACGGGGTCGGTGTCGTTTTTCGAAATTTGTTAACTTAATATAATAGAAGATGTTTCGTTTTAAATTAAGAAATGTTAAAATTATTAAGTTAAAAACATTTGATTTTAATGACACTTAAAATTAGACACAATATTATAGGTTACTAACTAAAAATTGAAAAAACAACAATCAATAATAAAAAATAATAATAAAAAATTGAAAAAATAAAAAAATTCTTAAAAAATTGCAAAATAACCCTTTTTCGGGTTAAAATTTTAAAATAACCCTTTTTCAGGTTAAAATTGAAAAAAGATGTTACATAAAAATAGTTTGTGAGATTTTCTAAAAGCATATATGCAAAGTATTTTGATTTATTTGAAAATAATAATTGAAAATAGATTTTTCAAGGACGGTGTCGAGGCCACGGGGTCGGTGTCGTTTTTCGAAATTTGTTAACTTAATATAATAGAAGATATTAAATACTTTTTGAATAAATATTAATTTTGCATCTAATTTTTCTATAAATATCAATAAAGTTTAATTTTTTTTCAGTTAAAAATAATAACTGTAGAAGAAAGCAATTAGAGTTTAGTGTTTTTAATGAAAATTCCAAAACGAAATATCTGAATTTGAAGTGGAACGTGAAGAACCCAAAGTAATATATATATATAAAAATATAATTCGCTTCGAATAAAACGTGAATTAACGTAACTATGTTGAAATATTAATTCACGGATCGCGAAACATATTAAAGTGGAAGTGCGGATGGGATACTTGGTTGCCGAGGTGAGGCAAGCTGTTGCATCCGTTTCAACGAGACGCGTGTACCATTTTGCTGAAACAAGTTCCAGTGTCATGGTTAAAAATTTTACCTATATCCGAATTTTACTTTTCAATCAAAAATTTTCTGATCAAAATTTCAACAATTATTATTAAATTATTACGAAATTATCATTGATTATTATTAACTATTAATTATCATTAAATTCTTATTAAATTTTCATTACATTCATCATTAATTTAATTCTTTAATTAAAAACTAAGAAAATTCATAGGGAAAAAAGTTTTAATTAACTAAAACTTTGGTCATATATATATATATATAAATGGACTGCGTTTGATAATCGAGAAAAATAAAAAAAAATTGCTATTGTTGCTGGTTAATTATGAGAATTGATGGAAGATTAAATTGCCCTGTTGAAGGCTTTCCTGCATAGCTGCTGCTACTGCCACCAGTTCACTTCATCTATTCAGAAACTCGAGTCGATAGACGACGACGCCGCTTATTGTGCTCAGAGATCAAGACTCTTTTTTTTTCTTTCCTTTTTTTAACATATATATATATATATATTGGTGAAATGAATTGAAAACTCTTGGGGGATCAAAGCTGTGCGGATGATTGGATAAAAATTCCATTATCGCTAAATGGATCCATAATTAATTATAATACCCCCCCCCTCTCTCTCATAATTGACTGATTTCCAATTCTACAATGCGGTTTTATAATCGTATCTTGAGTTTTTTTCGAGAGTAATGTATAATATGATTAATGGGACTTTAGAAAATAAAAAAAAATATATATATAAAAATTTATTGACAGTTTTATGGAATGGACAATAAAAAGCGATTCGCGGAATATGGATGTGTACATATAAATGTCAATACTGACAATAATCGAATATTTTTTTTTTTTTTTTTGATCCAATATTCTCTTGTTTTTTAGTTTCTTTTTTTTTTGTAGCATAAAATCGATTTTTTTTATGTTTTTCGTTTTCTATGCTGAAGGATTAGAAAATCATGAAAATTGCTATAGGAAATTGTGGTTTGAAATAGTAATCGCGGCAACATTAAACGATCCTGACCATTAACCACAAGCGTCCTATTTACACTGTTCAGGGTTGGGTCTACTTTGAAGGGTTTCATGGTGCCACCAGTTATCGCTGGTGATTTGCGAATTAATTTCACGTTAACCTCCTTTTAAATGTATAAACTGTTCCACAAAAGGAGAAATAATTTACTGATGACGACATAAAATGTCCAAATTGTTTGAATTTCATT